ATACTTATCGGGGAACAGGGTGGATCGATTCAAAGTACGGAACCTGTCGTGACCAATTCCCGCGGATGGGATTCCCCTTTCCATGTGAAATAGATACCACCGCCCCTCCCGGTCCCCCCCATCGACGCCCTCTTTCTCACTTAATTGGGAATAAATTGGATCCAATCTAATTCGAATTAAGGGTCGAAGGATCAGCCTTTTCTTCGAAAACGAGCCACGCCGTGCTGGATTTATCCCCGCGCTCTGTTCACCTTATGCTGATTGGGAACTCCAATAATGGAGTTATTCCGTGAAATTGATCCCGGCTCGCCGCCGCCCGCTTGTTCCTTTTCCAGGATTTCGATAGGGCGATCGCTGCGCACAGCTTCGGCTATCTTCGATGCATAGATTGGAGAGGCCGGTCGGTCGGCGTTGCTCTCTTTGCATTCCTTCGATCCGAAGACGCGCGTTCGGCTGCCGCTAATGTTCCTCCGGTGGGGTATTGCCGATAGGAATGTGCAAAGTCTTCGTTTTTATGCGACCAATTAGTTAGCGAATGTTCGCGCGTCATCGTTGCGCCGGAGCGGTTCTTTGGTTCGAATTTTCTCGCGCGATACCGAACGCGTTTTAAGTGGCTGCCATAAAGGCCGGCAGGTTTTGTATTTCGCGCAGTTCGTCACGCGTGTCTATTATTTCGGTTTCGGTGCATCGATTTTGATCGAACCGAAGCGCACGATACTCGGATATTCCATGTTTGCAACGACTACGGTTGCCGTTCGACGGGTTGATCCAATTCGATGGTGAATTCAGCGTTACGATATGTTTTCGAAAGCAGCAATTGTTCGTGATTCGATGATCCAAGTTTCATCTTTCGGTGGCAAAACATGCGTCGATGGAAAAGTGAAAATTCAATCGACCGGGAGAACGCGAACGTTCGAACAATAGTTACGAACGCAGATGCGGTTCCAAGTTAAATCGTTTGCAACGAATGGTATCGTTTCAGATCGAACATGCGAAACGGGTACGTATAAAAACGAATTTCAAATCAAGATTCCGTATATCGGCTCTGCCGCACCCACGAACTACCGCATCCACCATCTCCGCTCGCAATCACTCGATTCTGCCGCGTTCGATTCGACCCGGTCTATCCTGCGGCAACCGCTACACCCTCGCACGCGTATACAATAAATAATCGATATGAAAAAAAAACGTTTGGAACATTTTTTTCCGATAGAAAACCGGCAGCAGGTTCGCAGTCGCCCGACAAATCGCGTCCCGGCGAAGCGGCGACCGTCCGCAGGAAATAAAAAGTAGTCCGAACAAAGGGCATCCCCTATCAAACGTGAATTTCCAGAGATCAAATCCAGATTTAGCTTCCATTTAAATCGTGGGCAGTCCAGATTAATCTGTCCCATAGAAACGCGCCGTTTTTCATTTCCACCGGGGCCCCGAACGGTCCCCGGGCCGTGCCACCTGTGCATCCTCGAATCCGGTTTCGAAAAGATCCACGCAACATAGAGGAAGCAACGAAAAAAGGGGTGGAGATGGCCCTCGCCCCTTGTCCGAAGGGGACAAGGCCGGACTGCTCGGCCACAATGACCATGGCACGGTGTGCTTTACCGCTCGAGCTGGGACCACCGTCGCGACGCGTTTCGGGGCCCGTTTCCATAACGCGGAGGTAGCAGACGGTGCGACGTGTCTCGTTCTCGTCTCCGATTGAAAACGGTTCCACGCGCCTTCCAATTTAATTCGTCCAGAAATCCCGTGATTCACGAGCGGATACCACGCGAGAGCCGGCCGTCCAGCCGTGCGGAGATCTCGCTGGCTGCACGATCGAGAGATTCTTCAGCTTCAGCATCTTTGTTGTCGGATCGAGGGTTCGCCGCTGCGCCGCCGCCGAGCCGCCGCTGCGCCGAGGACGTGACGGATCGATTGGACCCTCGAGCCGTGGGAACGCTCAATTGCAATCGGCGAAATTCGGGACGAGGAGAGGGTGAACCATCACCTTTCTTACGGTATCAGCGCTTGACGAGGTTCCTTTGTCGGGAGTCCTTTATCGGAGCTCTCTTTCGTCACCGGATTCCGTTCTGCATTTCAACTCGCCGAATGGGTCACCGAGGATAACCTGGATTATCATTCTTTCGCAGAGGATATTCAAACTTTGAACGCATGCTGATTCTAAAATTCAGAGGATTTTTATGCATTTACCGCGTTGGAAACTGTGCTGGAATTCACATACGAACAATAACGTATACAGAATCGTCATCGTAATATAGAAACGCTGCGAATTGCCCTCCGAATTACATTTTATATTTCTGATACTCGTTAATTGGAGAATTATCAAGTCCCGTATCAGGCAGCTGAATATTTCATCTCTCATCTATATTTCACGTGGAATAAATCGTTCGAAATTGTTGTTATTTGTCTTTAATTATAACGATATAGAAATTCCCGGTCGGAGAGTTTCCCAATTAAGGACTTAAGCATTATCAGGTCGCTAATTATTGTGCAAATGAGGTAGATGCAATTTGCGTTAACGAGTCGTTCGTACCATTAATTGTATTGCATTATTATTCCTGCATTGTCTTCCTCGTATTGTATCGATCGACTTCCTTCGCTTTCGGCTCTGATTTTTAATGCAATGAAATTGCCGCATGGTACTTAGTTTTCAGCGAAAGAAATACATGTAGTGGGAGTATAGTTCTTTAGTTTATGAACGAATATATGGAACTAACCAACGGTTAGGGATAATAATAAAATTATGCGTATAGCAAGCATCTTTTTATAAACGATGGAACGTAAGATGTAAGATGATACAACAATATGAAGGAAATTATTTGTACGCGAGATACAGCTTTAAATAGAACTTCCATAGTAGGTGTCTTTTTATAAGACAAAAGAAAAATATGGCAAGAATTATTAGTGTTCAAGATGCAGCTGTAAATAGAACGCTGATATAACTTCGTTCCTCCTTAAATACAATTTTACCGTCATATCTTCCGAGAACAAGAATTTGCTGAAACATTATCGCTGTCAGTTCCGTTAAATCGATCACAGTTCCAGGAAATAACAAAAATTCGTTCGACCATATATTACGATAAAACTCGCGTAAAACCAGAGCAACCGAAGTCCCATTATCTTCGTAAAACCACGCGAATCTCTAAAATTTGAATAAACGAAGCCTCGTTATGTTTATAAAACTGCAAGACGCGGTATAATACTAGCGTCGCTAACGATCGATAAAACGTTCCGATCGGTCCGCGAGTTTATAAAATTCCTGTTGCGATTCGCTCGCTTCCGGTACCGAAGAAGCAGCCGGTCGACGAGCATCGAGTTTTCATGAACATCGACAGTTAAGTAATCGGGACGGCCGTGATCGCAATACGGGATGAATTAATGAAACGGAACAGTGGAAATAAAACGAAACCAGTGCCGTCTCGGCGGACGATAACTTAATGATAGCCGATCCCGGTTCTCATCGGCGCAGAATTTCACTTACCCGCCCACAGCAATCGGTGCGCGCGTTTCGTAAATCGCCGCGCGCCGCGAGCCGCACCGGTTTGCATCGGCAAAGTATCGCAGCCGGGGACACCGATTCGGGACCGCAATTAAATCGACGATGATTCGCCTCGTTTCATGGAGAATTAAAGTCGGACGACAATTATCGAATCGTTTACCCACGCGAGTAAAGACGTCAATTACGGGCGGCGATCGTCTCCGCAGGCTTTCATTATCAACTCCATCCGGAGTGCGGAGCGTGATTCGCGAGCGTCATTTTCGCTCGCTCCGATTCGGCTCCGGATCGGCCGGTCCCCTTTGCGCGCGCTGCCACACCGGGAGCCATTATTCGGGTTAACGGGGAATTCTGCCTCTGTACAACTTCATTGATTATGCAAAAGGCGCCGGTAAATTGGCCGTGCCGGACGCTTCCACCGAAACGAGGGTCAATTATTTTCGTGGTAATTCGATGACTCGGACTTTTATCGGGCAACGGTTTCTCGTCGTCTCGAGGAAGATTTGCCGCTGGAAGTGATACGAGGCGGGACTTTTGTAACACTTTCCGAACGATCGGGATTCGATCGTGCTAGCGATTGACGCGGCTGCGAGAATATTGTAGAATGTTCGCAAGATTTCCGTTTGCTCGTTCGATACGGAGCTTCGAAAAGCTTCGTTGTGCTTGCTGTTCGCGCGCGTCCTCGCTCCATCGATATTTAATCCTTGGCCAGAGCATAAAATAATAGTAACATAAAATAAAAGAAACGATGCTTCGACGATCTGCTTTCGAATTTTATCCCGAAAACGACCGTCCATCCGTGAATCCGAAGCGTCTCGAGAGATCGTTCGAGCATCGATCACCGGTTCCAGCGCCGATGGAAGAGGCTACCGAGTGAAATCGCTCAATTATTAATGCCGCAACCGAGATTATAGCGGCGATAATTCGGATCCATTAACGGCGCGGCGCGCAGGCGGTCCGCAACGCGCCAAACCTGGAAGCCATCGCGAAATCGAAGGTTTGTTTCTGTCGGAGGCCGAGCCTCCGGAGCCGAGTTTATTCACTTAAACCACGTATGGTGCGACTCTCCTTGTTATTGAAATTAACCGGCGTGTAATCGTTTCGTAGCCGCCTGCCTTAAACGGACGAGGGGGACGTGCGAAATCCGCCATTTGTAGGACGCCGCGCAGCGTCGAGGCGTAACTACTCGCGCGGGCACGGGCACGGGCACGGGCAAGGTGCGAAACCCATATTTGGCGATGCTTCGATAAATCTGCGTCGAGGGCTGAAATGAAACCGTCCCGCAATTTCGCCGGTGCCTCTTCTCTCTTCCGGTTCGAGCCCGGTGGAAACGTGCTCCGGGCTTGCCAGCACTGTCGCAGTTAATAAACTCGGACGGGGTTGAGGAAACCGTCGGTTCCCATTTGTATCGTATTGACAGACGGCTAAAAAACTGCCAGAAGCCCCCTGGCATCTAAAATTTTAACGCGGCATCGTTCCTGCAGTTTCATGAATACGCAGCGAAACGGAAACTCGACAAAGTCGGCACTTTTATTATCGATTCGAGAGTCTCGTCGCTTCGATATCTCGTGGTTATTATACATTGTACGTTTATTACAAAGGAGTGTAGATAAAATACGACATCGTAAACGTCTAAGGGAATTAAAACAGCCGTTGCGTTATTTTCGACTCGAAGAACAATCGTTGGACGGTCGATGGCTGCTCGCTTAAAATGGACAAAAGTGCGGGAGTTTCGGGGAAACCACGAACACGCACAGATTTCCGATTTATAGGAATTTATGCGGACCACAGATGTACATAAATTTCGCTATAGACGCGACAAAGTAAAACGCGGGAACTTGCCGGAGCATGTTCCCTCTAACGAGCAGAACCAGTCCAGCGGAATGGCTTAAAGTTGGATCAGCGTGGTAACCTCTAGCGGAGAAGCGTCGAGAAAAGTTGTCCAATCAGCGTGGTCGCAGGCGTTCGACGGGCTCGGGGATCGCAGGAAAACCCTCGAAGTATCATTCACGGTGCCGATTCACCCGGAAAGGCGTTTAACGCCGGATACGACAGCTTCCCTTTTCGCACCTAGCACCACCGGCAACTTTTCGAGCGTCGTCCGAATGCCGCCGAGCAGCACAATAAAACGATTTATCCCATAAAGAGGCCAGGTTCTGTGATCCGCGTTACGCGGGGCCATTAAAGTCTCTCTTCCCCTTTAACGCCTTCTCGCTTTCTACTTTTATCGTTCGCCTTCGTCGGAGCCGTTGTCGTTCTCCCGTGCACGCGTCCTTCTCGCTGGCAAATTAGCCAGCTGCTCGCAAGCAAAACCCGAGCTTGCGACACCGTTCGTTCGGTCCTGGTCTTCTGTCGTTCCGAGGGAAAGGATTTTCGCCGGATCGCGCGCTAGGTGGTCCTTCTTCGCACCTTCGCGGTGCCTTCAGCCACTCGGTCGCACCCTCTACTTTCTGTAATCACGGAATCGTGCCCTCTCATCGGCCTCCGCTCTTTGTCGCCGACTCTCTGCGAAGCTGCAACCAGAGGCGAGCTCGTTCATTAGCTGGCAAGGAGGTTCGAATCATTGGGTAACCGAGATAGCCCTTACGCGGTCTTCTCGTTATTTCGGAATCTTATTTGTTCGACTCTCGGACGACCAACAATGGGTCGAGAAAAACTGTGAAAACGTTCGACGTCGTTTTTGAACGGCGACCGCGTGAGGGTTCGAAGGTTACGCATCTCTGACAAACCTCAAAATTAACGTCTAATTGCAAATATCCATTACGCAAATTATAAAATTCATTCGGTAGTTTAACGCAGCTGCCGTGAATGTGAAAAATGAAAGACGACGTTAATTCGGCGAACGATAATGTCCGCGAATCAACTGTAGGAGTTTATTCGCAATGTCTGCCGTTTCGAGAGGAGTACGATAATTGTCTTAATTCAGAAAATTTTCATTCGTTTACAGCGAATCTCTACATACATTCGACGTAAAAACTTGCGTTTTCATAGCGTCGTTCCAGCAGAATTATGCGCGTTTCTGGTTGGAAGTGACGGGGAATCTCGTCCGTAAATTTCCTGTTTAATGACCACCCGCTGATTCGGCTTTTTCCTGAATTAACAGCCGCTTAATCAACTGTAACCGCGAACGGTGTACCGTAGACCGGAAACAGCTTAACGATTCGGGTAATTAGCCGAGCCGGATAGTAGCACCGTCACTTTTCGGTTGATAATGAGGCGAAAATGTCGGCGAAATGGAGTCGGTGAACATAACGATGTTATAATGGTAATAAACCGTGCGTTCAAACGCCATTAAAAACGATGTAAAATTCTACTTTTTTTCAAAGGCGTTGCCGAGTTGAATAATATCCGAGCCCGAAGCCTGCAAAACGACGACGGAAGTTCCTAAAGCGTGGGCGTTCCCGTGGAACATCTGTTATCAGCGAACGGAAAGTTACGTCGACAAAAATTACACGGACCGTTTTTGTAATGTTCCATATGTTTTTCTATATTCCTACGTTTCGATGGCGCAAACTTCTCAACAAACGTACCAAATTTGCGAGCATGTCAATTTTATGTTCCATGGAATTTACAATTGGCAAATGCCGCAGGTCGGATTCGATCGAACCGTAAATTCGGTTAATTAACCGAGAGCCTATTCTTCGTTTCTATGGAATATATCAGCGAATAAAAGACTCGGTCCGAGGCACGATCCAATATCCAGGAATCCGAGTACTCTGGAAACTCTCCTATAACTTTCTTCTCGTTCCAAGCCTTCGCCGAACCAGAGAAGTCGATGATCTCCAATAATTGCTGGAAAGCTGGGAAGGTGCCCGAGCCGAAAAGTCCGGCTCGGTGAATGACGTCCGGCCAACAAAGTATCAGCGAACTACCCTGTAAACCGAGGTCCTCGCCCCCCCCCCCCCCCCCCACC